TGAATCCGTTTGCCTTCATCAGAGCCGTGACTGTCCATCTGTCTCTCTCTGTGTGTGTGTGTGTGTGTGTGTGTGTGGGGGGGGGGGGGCACATAGAGGGAAAATCTGCTGCCAAAAACTTGTTCTCGCCGGCCGTTTGCCTCCTTGAAAAGTATGTGTTATAAATGTGTGTGTGTTCCGGAGGATCGCGTTCAACTCGTGGAATGAATCAGTGTGTTGTGCCTCTGATGGCAGACAAAGCCCCCCATAGAGGGATGAAGAAAGAGAGGAGGATGGAGAAAATAGTGTTGGGGGGGGTGTAATGTGAGAGGCAATTTGACACAGGAAGTGGGTCCTTCTGCTCCTGGAGCATAAAATAGACACAAATTCCCCCCCAGGTAGAAATCCTGCTTAATTTGAGGAGGTTTCTCAGGTGTGTGTGTGTGTGTGTGTGTGTGTGTGAGTTCACTTTTCAGTGGGAGCAGGAAGTGAAAGAAGATCACAGCTCATATCCAGAGCTGGATTTAGCAGGCCAACGTGTGTGTGTGTTTCCCCTCCATTCGTCTGTTTTCGATGCTCGCTGGGCAACATAAAACAAATTTCTCAGCAACGTGTCACTGAAGTTAGTCCTCCTTCCTCCTGGACGGAGTTACAATGTTGAATTCACTAAAAGTAATTTAACACGACTCGTCCAAATGCGACCAGAAACCAGTCCTCCTGACACGACCCGGTGCTTGTTGTTCCATTTAGAGCTGAGGAAGCAACGTTTCTGCACACAGCAGGTGTTTTCACATGCAACAGCAGAAAATGCTCCGCTCCAATAACAATGTCTGCCTCTCACATGGGAGCAGTCCAGCTGTTGTTATGCGCGCCGACGGAAACTTCACCTTAAGCTTATTAGGTTCACCTGCATGTGCTTCTGCTGCTGCCACGAGTCAAAATGTCTGCTGAGGACGGAGGTCTGGAGCTGTGCTGTTGGTGCCTGCAGTAATGGTCTCGTGTCAAACTGGATTTCTTGTCTGGTTATTGTTTGAATAAAAAGATTTTTGTGCCCTTGAGCTTGTTCCAGTCGTGAGAACTTGACTAATGAGAGGCAAATATAAAATGAAATAATTGGTTCGAGTTTACTCCTAACTCCTCCTCTTGTCAGAAAGCTGCATGTGATTTAGGTTTTCAGACTATTTATTAAGCAGAGCAACAGAAAGCTTCATATCGTGGCGTTTCTTTTCGTTTTTGAAACTAATAAAATGGAACAAATAAGCCAAAGCAATTGTGAAGTTGACTTTAAAGTTTATAACAAAAGTTTAATTATTTGATGCATAAATGAGTTTCTTAAAAGCGTCCTGGATTCCAAATGGATCAGTGGTATTTCAAATTGACCTGTATGCACAATTAATTTAAAATTTGAGCGTTGTCAGGATCATGTACTGCTTGGATTGCAGTAAATGGTAGGAATGCATCAGTTAATTATCCAATATATTTTTGTTTGTTTCGACAAATGCATATGTCCGCTAACCTGGAATAATTTTAATATTCTGTGTAGATTTATAATGACAGACAGAGAAAGAAACCCTGTCATCATCGTCTTTTTTCTTTTCTTTTGAGAACATTATCTAACACCGTACCATGAAGTCAAAATTAGGAAAATAAATACTTTGCTTGTTGTTAAATAAAGTTTTTAGAAAAAAATTAAAATCAGCGAAAATGAAGAGGTTTTAAAACCTTACAAAGCTCCAGCAACACGTCATGGAGGCAACAGTCCTAGGAGGGAAACCCATACCTCCCTCCCCCCGGCGTCATTCTTCAGCTCCTCCTGGGAGATCCCAAAGCGTTCCCAGGTCAGAGCAGATATAAAATCCCTGCAGTGACTTCTGGGTCTCCTCCCAGTGGGACGTGTCTGGAAACCTTTATAGGAGTGTGTACCCAAGAGATCCATATCAGATGCTCGGAT